GCCGCCGCGCCGCCATGTGCGCGGGGGGGCCGGGCCGGGCCGCGCTCCCCGCCGGGGCCGGGCCGCGCTCCCTCCAGCGGCCGGGGGGGGGGCACCGGCGCGGCGTGACGTCACAGCGACGTCACAGCGACGTCAGAGCCGCCTCGGGCTGTCAGCTGGAGCACGGCCGAGCCGCCCTGACCAGGCAGCCGGTCTTAAAGGGGTCCTCACCCGCCGGCGGCAGGTGAGTGCCCGGGGCGGCGGGGCTGTTCCAGCCCCGCCTTCTGCCCCGCGAGGCACCGCACGCTACGGGAGCTGCCCGGTCCCGCTGCCCGTGAGCCGAACCGGGTCCTCCCGCCTCCGCCCGGGCACTGCCGGACCTCCGGTGAGACGGGACCCACGGGGCACACGGTCACGACATCCACGGGCGGCCGGACCGCGCGCGGCCCCTTTAAGAGTGCCGGGTCTCCCGCCGGGCAGCGCCGCATGGCGCGGCGGCGCGTGGGAGTCACGTGGGTGGGACGTGGCGGCCGCCGATTGGCCGCCCGGCCCTGGCCCGCTGCAATCAGCTGTTACTGGGACGAAGGGCAGGAAACGGCCTTAAAGGGGCAGCGCGCCTCAGAACCGCGCCCCGCGGGGCGGGAGCGGCAGCGCCGGGAGTGCCGGCGGGGCAGCGGGTGAGCGCTTCTGGCTGGGCCAGGCCGGCGCTGCGCTCTCCCCCGCCGGCACCCGCGGCGGGCGCGGCCCCTTTAAAGAAGTTGTCCAGTCATCGCACGGCGCTGCCAAGTCATCGGGGTCAGCCGAGTTCTCGCGGCCACGCCCCCGGCGCGCGCCCATTGGTGCGCGCGGCGAGCGCTCACTTCTGATTGGCCGAGGACTTAGAGCAACTTCTCGGAATCGGGGCTGTGTCACCAGCCCCGGCACAGGGAGGCGCCGCCCGAGGGCGAGTGGGGGCGGCCGGGCTGTGCCCGCGGCAGCGCCACGCCCCGCCCGGGGCCCGCGGAAGGGTCGAGCACCTTCGGAGCCGCCCTGCCCCCGCCGCCCCTTCACCCGCTTGAAAATGCCAACTCACAGCACGCGGGGCACGCCGGGAGCGCCGCGCCGCACTACAACTCCCGGCGTGCCCCGCGGCGGGGTGGCCCCGTCCGTTCCCAAGGCAACCGCCGCCCGGCCGGGAGGGAGCCAAGCGCTCCCCCGGGAGGGGTGGGCGGGGCAGAGCGCCGGCTCTGCCTCCCCATTGGCTGAGCCGTGGGTCGCGCCGGGCGGCCATTGGCGGGAGCGGGTGGCAATCGGGGCGCGGGGGCGGGCGCGGCGCGCGCCGGCGGTGCCGGCCGGCGATTGGCCGGGGGCGGGCCGGGGGGCGGGGCCGGGGGCGGCTGCGTCATGACTCCGCCAGCTGATCCGGGACGGAGCCGGCGCGCGGCGGGGGGAGGCGGCGGCACCGGCACCGGCACCGGGCACGGCCGGGCGGCACCGGCACCGGCGGGGCGGCGGCGCCGGGCCGAGCCGAGCCGAACCCAGCCGAGCCGCGCAGGTGGGTCCGCCGGTACCGCGCTGCGTCGGGCGGTTCGCGTGGCGGAGCCCCGCGCGGCGCCCTCGGTGCTGCGGGGCTCGAGGGGCCCCGCCGTGCCCCGTTAAGGGAAGGTCACCTTTCCCCGGGGCAGGGCGGCCGCGGGGGGCGCGGCGCGGGGCGTCCTTCGCCGGGCTCCGCGGCGCCGCCCGGGCCGGGCGGCCTCGCCCCCGGTGTCGGCGGGGCGGGGAGGGGGGGCTGGGGCCGCGGGCCGAGCGCGGCTCCCGCACCGGGGGATCCCGGTGGGGCGGGCGGGGCGGCGGCCGGGGCCTCCCCGCGACGGGCGGTGGCCGCCCCGGGGGTGACCTTCACTCCGGGAGCGGGCTGGGCAGACTTTGACCCGCGGCCGCTCCCCGCCGCGGGCACGGAGCGGAGCATCCCGGGCGGCGGAGGGCCGGGAGGGCGGCGGGGTGTCCCGGAGGAGTGCAGGGAGCGGCTTTGCCGTGGAGCGGCGTGGGGGGAGCTGCCTCCGTTAGGGGGGAGGGGGGAGTTGGTTTTACCGAGAGGAGAGACACTGGGGGAGGGGGGGTGACCCGGTTATACCGGGAGAGGGGCACCGGCTGGGGGCACGGCGTTCTTTACTAGCGGGGTGAGCTCCCACCGGGGCCCTTCCCAGAGCCGCTGGGGTCTGTCGGTGCTGAGAAGGGCTGGCTGGGAGCCCTGTTACCGACAGAGCCCCCCTCGTCGGTTCCCGGTGCCGGCGGGGCCCCCGGTGCCGGCGGGGCCGGTGACTTCAGCGGCGGGTGCTGATTCACGGGCCGGCGGGGGTGGAGCAGGGCCGGGACCAGCTCGCTGGAATCCGGACCAGATGTACCCGGCACGCCAGGAATGCTCGGCATCCCCGCCGGGCCCCGCCGCCGCCGCTGCGCCCCGGCCACCGGCCCCGCACCGAAAGCCCCGCGGCACCCACCGGGGCCGGCCGGGGTCCGCAGTGCCTGTGGGGTGTCGCTGGTGGGAGGATGCTGTGGTGGCCCCCGGGGGTTTTTTTCCGTGTTTCCCGTTGCTCTCTGTCCCCCACCGTGCCCGGTTTCCCGGGAGGTTCCCAAAACTCCCTAGCAGTGCTGGGTGTTGTAGAAAAGGGATTTTTTCCCGGGTCACGGGGGAAGCAGTGGGGTCCAACACCAGCCCTGGGGTTGGCGTGCTCACCCTCCAACAAAACGACACCGGAGGGGGCTGAGCTGCCTGAAATTCCCCCGCCGGTAGCTCGGCAGCAGCCGCCTGACAAAGTGTCTTCCCCTGGCTCCCGTCCAGGTGGGACCCTGCCAGCGCTGATGGATGCCCGAGGTGAGCCCTGGGAACGCCGTGACCCCCACCTGCAGTGGCCTCCCTGCCGCGGCCACCAGGCCCTGTCAGAATAGCTAGCCTTATCTTTTATTTTCCAGCAGAAATGGCCTTGGATTTCCCTGCCTGTTCCTCCTAGGTTTAGGGCTGGCTGCAGGTGCTGGAGCTCACGCACAACCTGCTTTGGGAGGAATGGGGAGAGTTGAGGTTGGAGCTGCCTCTGGATTTCCTTGGATGAGGGGGATGTCCCTTGGGGGAGGACAGAGCAATAGGTCAGCGTTGTGAGGAGGGAGAGAAGCTGCTGTGGGTGACAGCTCAGCTCAGCACAGTTCAATCCTGGCTCTGAAACGTGTGTTCCCTCCCCAGGTGCTGCCGTGCCACCCTGCTCCTGGCTAACCAGCACCAGTTCTTCAGTGGCAAGCTTTATGTCCTTCTCCAGTAGCTAAAGCTGCCAGTTGAAGAACTGTTGAATGTAGCCACTCTCTTCTCGTCACTGGGACCTTGGATGCCAGCCAGAGCCGTGCCATGAGCCACTCTGCAGAGTCCCGTGGATTGGAGGGCTGAGGATGAGTCTGACCAGGATGAAGAAAGTCTCCTCGGAGCCTCCAGACAGAGCCTTGGCTGGAGGATTGTAGAGGCAGCTGTGCCAGAAGGGATGCCAAACTCTGTCTCCCCCTCAGTGGGGTGGCACCGAGCTGGGAGGAGGCTGAGAGAAGCATTAAACGTTGTTTTCCTCATCTGCTCAGTTTTAGGAAGTTTGTTGCCCGTGGGTTGCCTGGATCAGGTGGGAGGATGGTGGGGGCTGCAGACCCTGGAGGGGGGCACAGCACCAGAGCCGTGTCCCCGGTGGTGCCGCTCCGGGGTCTGCGGTTCAGGCTTGATCCTTCAGGCTGGGCGTAGCCCACAGCTCTGCCCTGCTGCCGAGCTCGGGAGCTGCATTTTCCTGCAGCATGGCAGCAGCGGGATGGAGCCCGGGGCTGGCTGCACACCCACGCTGCCCGCTGCGGGTCGGGCTGGGCGCGGTGGGGCCGGGCCACCGGGCCAGGGTGACTCAGGGCCGAGTCACACACGGCTGTTCCCGAGCCTCTGGCCCTGGGAGGCCACGCTGCAGTGCCAGGGTTCCAGGTATTTTGGAGCTTGCAGCACTCAGAGGGGCCGTGGTGAACTTTATCGGGATCTTCTCTGCTCCACGTTCTGGCTCGTTGGTGAGCAGAAGCAGAAGGCTGCTCTGGGAGGAATTTGGAAGCTGCTCTCCAGGGCTGGAGGAGCCCCTGGCTTGCACTGAGTGAGAGGGGAGCTCCACAGGCTCAGCAAGGGCTCCAGGGAGCCTCTGCTCACCAGGCTTTGCCACAGGAGTGCCAGGATCAGCAGCTCCCAGGCTGCCTCGGTGAATGGGAAGCAGGGGAGTGTCCAGGCACTGCTGCTCAGAGCCTGCCAGCAAGAGCACAGCTCATCCCAGCTCCGAGGGCGGGCAGGGAGGAACAGCCCTGTGCTGAAATGTCTGCACAATCTCAACTTAATCTGCCTGCCCAGGCTCCAGCTGCCCAAGGCAGGGCTGCTCCCAAACTTTGGCACCCAGCAAAGCACAGAAAATGGCCTGGTCTATTAAGTGGTAGAAGTAGAATAAATCTCTTGTCCTGGGGTCTTTCCTTCTTACTTAAAGCTGCTGTGCTTGGTGTGTTCTTGCTGATGGTTACAAGAAGCTGAGTTTCTTTGGGGTGGTTGTCACCCAGAGGGGGTGGGACTGCTGAACACCCTTGGATCAGTGCCTCCAGCTTGAGGCAGAGCCTGTCTCTTCCACCACAGCTGCCCTGCTGCAAGTCCATGCAGAGCACCTGGCACCTGCTCAGTGCCCAACGCATCCTGGAGTGCATGGAGGGGCAGAAAGTCACGGTGGGGGGGTGGAGAGAGCCTGGGGACAGGGAGGAGGAACTCCTGGGCCACGCTCCCCCTCCTCTGCAGCACAGATTGATCTGTATGAGAGTTGTGTGCTCAGTGTGCTTCCCAAATCTACACCTTCCCTGCCATGGAGGAACAACCTGTGCTGCTGGAACCCAGCTTTGTCCTGGGTAAAAGGTGTCCCTTTCAGATCAGAGAGTTGCCCTGAGCAGAAGCACCAAACCTGTGAGGTCGGGAAATGTAAAACATTGTATTTCAGGTCAAATTCACGTGCGAGGTGGACAGAGGTTTGGGTGTTTGGCACAAAACCAGCACTGCAGTCTCTCACCTGCTGAGCAGAGGGCTCAGGCTCTGGCTGTCCTGCCCTTCATGTCAAACCAGAGGGGGTTTGGGCTGTCACCGAGTGTCCTTGTGGGAACTTGCCTGGCTCCTGGGACTTACCCTTCCTCCTGCACAGCCGCACGTGACTGGTGAGTAAGTGCAAGGTTTCCTGTAAGAAAGCACAGCCTGGCTGTGCAAAAATCTAGTAACTCTTTCCTCTAGCATCTGGCCACCTCCTCCAAGCATCCAGCATGCAGGGACACAGCAGGAAGGACTGGATCTGGGGTTTCTCTGCCAGAGGCTGCCTGCTCACTGCTGCAGCTAATGTGATATTCGAGACAGCAGTGACAGTGCCAGCAGGTGCTGCTGGCTCAGAGGCTGGGTGGCATCCCTCTGTCCTTAGGGGCAGGGTATTCTGTACAAGTTCCTGCACACAGCCCACCTCGTTCCCAGCTGGGAGAGCAGCTTGTCTGGGTCACAGCTCCCCTCGCTGGGAAAATGTGTTTTTGCAAAGGAGAAGGTCAGCGTGACCGGTGTGCTAAATGAGAGCTCCCTTCCAGCAGGGAAGGAGCAGGAGGAGCTGGTGCATCTCTGGTTGGTGTATCTGTGCATCTGTGGTGGCTGCTGGCAGCTCAGACCCTCAGCTGAGCCCCAGGCCGTGGGCATCCTCCTCTTGCCCAGCACAGCAGAACACCAGCTCTGCTGAGCTCTGCCCAGCACAAGTGGGCAGCCAAGGGCTGTCTGCAAACACAAAATGCAGGTGCTGGGTTCAGCTTTGCTGATGGTTTTATTGCTCCAGGGTGGGAGGATGTGGAGCTGTTGACACTTGGTTGTGAGCCCCTCACAAGGGCCATACATCAAACTTAGCTTTGTGCCAGCAAGGAGATGTTGCCAATGTCACAGGCCCTAAAAACAAGAGGTAGGTTGTTACAGTGAGCTCATGGGCACTCTGTGCCCCTTCCCCAGGACCCTGTGACTCTGATCAGAGACCCCTGGACCCTCCTTCCTGCCCCAATGGGGTTGGTGGAGAGCCAGGGAAGCCCACCCTGTCCAAAGTCTGTACAGACCCCTGACATTTCCTGTTCGTTCTCTTTTGCCCCACTCTCCACATGGACACCACGGAATAACGAGAACAAAACCAACATATTTTGGGGTAAGAGCCTCTTTTGGAAATCTTTGCCATCTCCTGATATTCCTCCCCTCACAGCCTGCTTACCTCTGAGCTAGCCTAGGATATTTTGGGGGCTGTGCAAGGTGGGGGGGGAACATCAGTAGGTTGAGGATTTGCAGTGACTCCTTTTGGTTCTGTGTCTCTCAGGGGGCTCTGCTGACGTGGGGAACAGCACAGAGCCACCCACCAGCTCGGTCAGGATGTCACTTACTCTGCTTCTTCTTTGGAGATTTGTTTCCCCAAGTACAAAACTTCTGCAATCAGAGACACCATGGGGTCGCAGTTCAGGCTGGCAGCTGCAGTCACATGGCCGTCCCTGGGATGGAAAGAGGAAGAATGGGGATCTCCTCAGGCTACACAGCTCAGCACAGCAGCATCCCCGTGGCACAGTGGCCAGGGAGCAGCTGCGTTTCAGAGGGCTCAGGGCAGGGTGGCCGGTGCTGCAGGATGCACAGGGACTCGTGGCAGATTGCCTGGCACTGCTGGGAGCTGGGCACTGAGCCTGGGAGCAGTGGGGCAGAGGCAGAGATGTGTCCCAGGCTCTCTGCCCAGCTGGTGTCATCATTTGAGTTCATTCTCTCTTCCTTCCCTGCCCTGCTTTGGGTTTCCTCTGGTTCAGCACCCAGCAGCTGCCTTTAGTGCACAGCCAGGAGATGTGGGGTGTCTGCAGCTGTAAGAGAGAGGACTGTGTGCCCTGTTTCCTGCCCATGGATTCACTCACCTGATGTAAAAGATCAGGAATTTCTGTTGCTCCAGGCTGCCCTTCACAACAGTGTCCGTGTATCCCTTCCCACAGCCTGTGGGGGAGAGCCTGCTCAGGGAGCCCTGGCACAGCAGTTTGCACCCATCCCACCTCAGAGCTGCTGTGCTGGGGACAGAGGGGACAGTGGTGGGGCTGGGACAGGGCTGGGGAGCAGACAGGAAGGCCCTGGACAAGCAGAACTGACTTTGAGCCTCTCCTTGCTTTGGAGAGAGAAGTTCTTCCTCTGTGACCTCTAACCCACTGGAGATCAGCAAAGAACAGCAGCTCTGGGTGGCCTCCAGGCTTCAAACTCACCATGGCAGCCAGTCCAGAGCTTGAGCTGCTTCAGGTGACCTCTGCAGCCACGGTGTGTTTACAGCCCCACACCCAGCTGGTGGGATGGAATTCCTCTGTTCCCCTCTCTGCCCTTTCCTACCTGCATAGCGGATGCTTTTCCCAAGCAACGTGGTCCAGAAGTAAGGAACAGTGTGCAGCTCCTTCCCTCTCCTCAGCATGTTCAAAGCAGCACAGTGACCTGGGAGGAACCAGCACGGAGAATATTTCTCTTGCAGGTCCTTAAAAATTATTCCCTGTGCCTCCTGCTGTCCCTTCTGTGCCATTCCCATCTCTGAGGGAGCTGGAAGGTGGCTGTCCCTCACCATGGGCCTCAGCCACTTGCTGGTGGTGGATGCTGGAGCTGTCCCCATCGAGCAGAGCTACTGGGAAGGTGACCACGTCCCCCGCAGCGAAGACGTTGGGGACGTTGGTTTGCATGTGCTAATGGGCAAAAGGCAATTAGTGCACTGATGAGAGGGAAGGGATGGGGTGGGAGCTCGGCTGGCACTCACCAGATTCACCAGGATGGCACCTTTGTCATCTCTGGCAATGGAGGTGCCCTGCAGGAACGCCGAGTTGGGGGCTGACCCTGCGGGGAGAGGAGCAGGGGTGACATGCAGCGAAGCTCTGCAGGGACAGGGAGGAAATTTGGCCTCACAGCTCCTGTTCCTGCTTGGAGCAGAGCACTTGGAGCAGTGACCTGTGCTTGGGCTGGTGCAGGGGCAGCAAAACCAGGGCCCAGGACTCTGCTAACACAGCAGGGACCTGTGGAGCTCAGCAAGAGCCAAAGGCACAGCGGGAGCAGCTCCTCTCCTCCTGCCAAGTGTGCTCAGGGGCTGCTGGCTTTCCCAGGTGTTTGGGGCCAAGAGGAAGGGCTGGATGATAACAGAGTGGGAAAGATAACAGCAGGGAATGGTGTCCTGGAAATGAGCTGTGATGCCCTGGGCTTGCTGGATGCTCTCCCCGTTCCCAAATCTGCCTCCCTGTCCCAGCTGGGGTCTCTTACCTATTCCCACCACTACCACATCTGCAGGCAGCTTCTCTCCGTTGGCAAGAACAGCCTCTGTGACCTAGGAAAGAAGGAAAGGTCATTAATAAAGAGTTAAAACCTCTGTCCTAATTCCCACAGCCTCCCTGCTGCTTTGCTTTTTGCTGTCTTCTTTCTTCCCCAGGTCTGGATCACCTTGTCCAACTAATGTGTGCTGCTGGGGATGTAAAAGGAAATCACATTGTCCCTGGGATGGGAACATTTACTGGTGCCCTTTGAG